TTCATAAGCTGTGCTCTTGAGGTCCTGCCCTGTCTCTGTGCAGTGTTTCATTCAACCTGGATACAGTTCCAAGAGGTAAGCTAAGTAGAGGACCACTCCTCCACTCACAGCTGAAAGCTCTGAGGTGAGAAGCTCACGGAAGCCATTTCAGGTCACCACCAGTCAGAAAGCGAAACCAGCACTTGTCCTCTGGATGTCCAGCTGTTCCCAAAACACCCTACTTCCCTAAACTTGGCTTCTGAGCATCCATCTCCACCGAGCTGAAGTGAGCTGGGAGCATGTTGCAATCCCAGGTCCCACAGGGAAAAGGCCGTCTGTGGATTGAATGCTCCCTGGGTGGCAGCCCCTCGAAATCCGCCTGGATTCAGTTTGTCCTCAGGTGAATCATAGGCCAGCCAGCTGTCAGAACGCCTTCCCTTGTTTTCCTTGGCAGGCATTAAACGGCCTCCCTCAACATGTGGCTCGCTACAAGTCACACGTTACTTCAAAGGCAAACAGAGCCACAGGGAAAATAGATCTGTAGCCTGTAAGGGCTCCTAGGACTCAAGCTGTCTTTTTTCCTGTGAAGTGCCAAAGGCTGGCAGGGGATGTCACCTACTGCAACACAGGCAGATAGGGACATACTGGTGAGCTCATGTTTACTGGTTGGGAGGGTGTCTGAGACTCACAACTGAGCTCTGGTGGTGTGACCCAGGGTGGGCAATACTGGGCTCCCCAACAAGGCATGTGTCTGGCTTACACTTCTCGTGTGAAACTCAGATGAATTGGTCAGCACAAACCACTCTTTGTGGAAGTCAGTGCTGAAATTCTGGCCGCAGTGGGCGGCCTAGCTCGCCTGATGGCTAGCCAGAGCTTCCTCCCTCCTGGCATCGGTACACTGTCAAGGGACTTCTTAGTTTCAGTGCTGGGGAGACTGTGGAGGGAGGGTTGTAGGAGGGCCCTGGTTAGTGGGGAAGGCTTGGGCCCCCACCCCTGGCAGAGCCCTAGAGCGAGCCGACAGCCAGGATGATGTCAGGTGCCTCAAAAATGCCAGCCTGGAGTTAGAGCTTGGTAGAGCACTTGCCTGGCAACGTGAAGCCTTGGGTTCCTCCCAGCACCCCACAAAACAGCAGTGGTGGCACACACTTGCAAGCTAGCACTTGGGAGGTTGAGGCAGGAGGATCAGAAGTTCAAGGTCAGTTTTGTTTACAAAATGAATTTGAGGCCAAGCTGGATACCTAAGACCCTGTCCACACAGTCTAGGACATTTCAACATGCACACCAAAATATTAACTGAGCCTCACTCTGAGCGGGTGGATGACTGGAGGGCTCCTTCAAACCCTGAGTATCAGTTTCTTCTCTCATCCCTGGCAGGAGGGAAGAAAGCTTTGTTTTAGTTAAGAGTTTCATCAGGCATTATCTGTCCCCCGTGGCAGGGAAGGTATGATACCTGGGAAGGCAACAGGAACATGTGATGGTGACTCCTGACGTCATGCTGGGTCAGGAAGCAGGAAACACAGGGGGGAACTGGAAGATACAGCCTTCGAGGCCCATCCCAGTGACCAACTTCATCCAGCCAGGCTCAGCCTCTTAAATCAGTATCACTAAGTGGGAGCCAAGTGTTCAAACACAGGCAGGAGACGTTTCACATTCAAATGGTAACATATGTTCTCACTTCCACACTTCCACCAGGCAGGAAGCCCAGGTTGGTATGAAAGGTGGTTTTGTCTGTACTGGTTTGTTTTCACGGAGACGTCACTCAAGGCTGGGACCTGAGACAGATGTGAACAGATGCTGCCAAGGGAACCATCAAGCTTCACCCATACAGTGAAATCTTTTTCTTTTTTTCTTTGTTTTTCAAGATAGGGTTTCTCTGTGTAATAGTCCTGGCTGTCCTGGAACTCACTCTGTAGATCAGACTGGCCTTGAACTCACAGACATCCACCTGCCTCTGCCTCCCAAATGCTGGGATTAAAGGCATGCACCACCATCGCCCAGCTACAGTGAAATCTTACATAGCTAAGAAGGCTCTATCAATCAAATTAGGAGGAGTCCTTCAACTCATCAGTAAGTTTAAGAAAAGAAAAAGTAGCCAGACAGTGGTGGCACACGCCTTTAATCCCAGCACTCGGGAGGCAGAGCCAGGTGGATTTCTGTGAGTTCGAGGCCAGCCTGGTCTACAGAGCGAGATACAGAACAGACACCAAAACTACCCAGAGAAACCCTGTCTCAAAAAACAAAAAAACAAAAACAAAAACAAAAACAAAAAAAGAAGCTAAAGGAAAATGACTGGGTATCCAATACTTGATATTTATCTAAGGAGTTTTTTAAAAATAGATTATTGGCTGGGCATGGTGGCACACACTTTTAACTCCAGCACTGGGGAGGCAGGCAGATCTCTGTGAGTTCCAGGCTAGCCACAGCTAGTCGGCCAGACCTTGTCTCAAAATAACAGTAAAAGATTTTATTTTGTGTATGTGTTTTGCCTGCATATGTAAAGGCACCGTGTGCATTCCTAGTGCCCTCAGAGGTTAGAAAAGGGAGTCAGATCCTTTGAAAATGGAATTGCAGGTGTTTGTGAGCTACTGTGGGGGTGCTTACAACCAAACCTAGGTCGTTTGTAATAGCGATAAGTGCTCTTAACCACTGGGCAATCTCTCCACATGCCTACCATCTTTCTCTTAACAGGGTCTCACTATGTAGACCTGACTGGCTTGGCACTCACAGAGATCCACCTTTCTCTGCCTCCCATGTGTTAGGATAAAAGGAGTGTGTCACCATGCACAGCTTTTTGAGCTTTCTACTTAGACTATGGTGTGTGTGTGTGTGTGTGTGTGTGTGTGTATGTATGTATGTATGTATGTATGTAATAATAATAAAGAAAAAGAGGCCATTAATTTGAGGGGGCAAGGGAGAGGTTGGAGGGGGGAAGGGGAGGGAAATAACATAATCATATTTTAATTAAAAATAAAATAGATTTTTTAAAAAATATGTTTAGAAAGCTGTGATTGGCTGTCTCTATATTTAATGCTCTGTTTGGCTCTATCAACCAAACATGAACCCATTCAGGTACATCATCTGGGAAATGAGATAGCATGCAGAACCCTGGGCCCTGTCCCCAGGAGTCTGGCTAGTGGGTCTAAGGCGGGCCTGGGTGCCTCCAAATTGTAACCAGCACTTCAGATGGCCCATTAAGACCCTGGATCTTACTTTGAGAATTTTTTTTTTTTTGGTTTTTTTTTTTTTTTTTTTTTTTCTGAGACAGAGTTTCTCTGTGTAGTTTTGGTGCCTATCCTGGATCTCACTCTGTAGACCAGGCTGGCCTGGAACTCACAGAGATCTGCCTGCCTCTGCCTCCCAAGTGCTGGGATTGAAGAAGGCGTGCGCCGCCACCGCCTGGCTTACTTTGAGAAATCTTAATGAGTTGGGGATACATGTGGTTCAGATGGGAGATCACAGCCAAGAGAGAAAGCTGAGACACTTCCAAGAAGTCACAAATTGGAATTGCCAGTGCAGGCAGCACAGAGCGGCACAGAGCACCAGGAGCTCAGAGGAGGGACGGCCACACCTGGCAACGTGCACCTCCCACATTGCTCTGAGAGCACTTCATTATTTTGTGTGCCTGATCATTAGGGAGTCCTTGCAGGGTAGGGCCTGGGATGTTGTGTCTCCCTTAGATCTGGCACTTCAGGGGCTCTGTTCTACAGTTGGCTGCGACAGTCAGGCAGGCAGGCAGGTGGAGGGAGGGAGAAGGGAAGGGAAGAGATTCCGATGATGATCTTATTTCTATGACAGTGCTAGTCCAGTGGGCCGCTGGGAAGAGACACTAGAGGCTGCGCTTTGCCTTTCAGGTGTCCCACAATACCTTGCCATGGAGTCATGGTTTTCCTCTGATACCTGCCACAAGAATCATGTCCACGGTGTAGGCTCTTCTCTCCCCTTCAGTGATGGAGAAGTCCCGTTTCTTGTCTAAGAGGCGACAACCCAGGCACTGGGAGCAAGAAATGTGGCTTGGAACCTAAAGCACGCAGCCTCACATTTACCCTCTGTTAACCACAGAGCCAAGAGGAGGTCCGGAAGGTTCAGAGGCTGAGGCAGGGGTTATTTATTGAGCTTCCAAGGCCAGCTTGGATTACACAGCAAAACCCTCCAACAAATAAGTCAACAAATAAGATTCTAGAAGGATCTGAGCAACAGTCATTGGCAAATGCAGGGCAGAGGGCTGGGATGTGTTTTCCTGTCTTCCAGTACTCATCACCCATGACTCTTCCTAGGATGGACTGAGTCCACTTAAAAAAAAAAAAAAAAAAAAAAGGAAGTAGTCCAGAGAGGCTGGGGACTCCCTCTGTGAAAGTCCTAGAGCTGCTGGGCATGGGGTTCCCTTAAGGGTTTTCCACATTTGTTTTGTGGCCTGCCCCACCCAAGTAGATTTCTTCTGCTACATCCCCATCATACTGGTTCCTGCTTCTGTGTGTGTGTGTGTGTGTGTGTGTGTGTGTGTGTGTGTGTGTGTGTGGTCTAGCTCAGCCCTGTTGCTTGGCCTTGGCCAAGATGATTGATTATCTTGGCATCTGTTTCCTCATCTACATACACCAGGGCTGGTGGAGGGACTAATGAATAAAAAGGTGCCAGATGAGTTCTCACTGATGCCAAATACTTCAGGTCTGGGAGAAATCTTAGCGGTGTTAGTTACATACCATATTCTTCTGGTATAATCTCCTTTATTTTTGTTTTTTGGGGTTTTTTTTGTTTTGTTTTTTGTGACAGGGTTTCTCTGTGTAACTCTGGCTATCCTGAAACTAGCTATATGGACCAGGCTGGCTTCAAACTCACAGAGATCCACCCACCTCTGCCTCCTGAGTGCTGGGATTATGGGTGGGCACCATCACCGCCCAGCTATAATCTTCCAAGGATATACTGTTGTACGACAAAGACTTTCCTGGGGAGAGGCAATACACACCTCTATTCACCCCAGATAAGGATCCCACACAGACCCAAGTACAGACACCACCAAAGTCCAATGTGGTGAGCCAATGAGTTTTATTGGGGTTACTTCCAGGAGTATGGGTGAGGGGTCACTTACAGGAGCAGAAATGACTCAAAGACAGCAGCCGCGTGACCAAAGCCTACCCTAGCATAGGTGACAGGTCACAGAAGTCAGGAAACCTAGAGCACAGTGCACAGCCTGCAAGGCACCTCAGCAGGTTGGAGATGGTCCCTTTTCAAGTGATTCTGGTCTAAGCCTCTTCTAGGCAGCTCAGTTGGTTTCTGCCCCTTCCAGGCAGCAGATCGGACCTCAGGTGTCTTTGCAGCTTTTCTCCTCTCACAGTCTATTCAGCTTCCTTTCACTGGAGAGGGAATCCCATCTTTTACTGCTTACTCCAGCTGGGAGGCGCCCAGTGAATCTGGTCAGTTTCAGGAACTTCCTGGAGCTCTTTGGAGTTGTTTACCTTCCTGAGTAAGGGTTTTCCTGCAGGATGGAATGTTTTAACCTCAGAGGAAACTGGTATACAACATGTAGACATAAAACTTATCTCCCTTACCCATCTTGTCTTAGTTCTTTTCCTGTTGCTGAGACAAAATGCTCCAGCAAATGCAAGTTAAAGAAGAAAGGTTTGGGGTCTTTTGGTTTTGTTTTGTTTTGGGCTCACTGAGTACAGTACATCATGGCAGGGAAGGTGTGGCAGCAGAGGCATGAGGGGGCTGCTTGGACTTCACGAGTAGACATTGTTTAAAATTAAATAAAAACTGTACTAAGGAAGCAGAGCCAGGCGGATCTCTGTGAGTTCGAGGCCAGCCTGGTCTACAGAGCGAGATCCAGGACAGGCACCAAAATAACCCAGAGAAACTCTGTCTCGAAAAACCAAAAAATAAAAATAAAAAAATAAATGAAAACACTAAAAGCACAGACTTACAGGGAATACATTATATTGAAGACATGGTGACCGAAACACTGAAGAGGGAGCGATTTGATAGGAGATAAGTTCTTGTTAACAGTAAGATCTGGTAGCCGCTTTAATAAATACCGTATTTGACCTCTTTAAGCATTTGTATCTGTTTTCCTGTCTTCTCTGGGACGTCCAAACGTGTGTACAGTGGGCTGCCTGGTGCCTCACGGTTCAGTTGCTCTGGTCTTCCTTACGCTCTCACCCGCCTCTCCACCGCATTTCAGTGTGGAGTTTCTATTACCGTATAGCCCACTCACTTCTCCCTGGGGGGCTGGTCTGCTGTCTTAGCTTCCTTTCCCGCTGCTGTGATAAATACCCCAAGGAAAGCAACCCAAGGGAGAAAGGGGTCTTTTGGCTCACAGTTCCAGGCTACAGTCCATCATAGCCAGGAATTCCAGGCAGCAGCAGGCAGGAGCTTTAAGACATCACTTGTCATGTCACATCCACAGTCAGGAGCAGAGGATAAATTGCTGCTGGCTCAGCTAGTTTTCTGCATTCCCAGACAACCCAGATCTCCTGCCTTGGGATAGCACCAACGAGAGTGGGAACGTCTTCCCACCTTAATCAGCGCAATCAAGACGATGTTCTTCAGACATGTCTGGAGGCCGACCAGATCTAGACAATCCTTCATAGGGGCTCTCCTCCTGTATTACGCCAAGTTGACAACTAAAAACTAATCAATACATCCACCCAAGGCATTTTTCATTGTCAATGTCCTTTTCATTTCTAAAAATTTGAATTGAGTCTTTTTTTTTCTCTCAATGACATTTCATCACATTTTCATGTTTTTATGTTTATGAACATATAGTGTCTGCATTCGATAGTTGTTTGATGTCCTTGTTGACTAATTCCATCGTCTGTCATGTCCATCATTTCCTGATCTATTTCTATTGTATTGTTTTCTCATCATGGACTATATTTTATATTTTTCTGTTTCTTTGCACAGCTGGAATTTTTACTTTGATTATCAGATCTTGTCTTTTTTTTTTTTTTTGAGACACGGTCCTAAGTCTCCAAGATCAGCTTTGAACTTGATGTGTAGCCGAGGACAATCCTGAACTGCTCCTCCAGCCCCAACCTTCTGAATTTGGGGATCACAGGCATTCGAGCACAGCCCCTCTCATCCATTCAGATACGGTGTATGGGTGTTGGTGTGCTACACTAGCAGAGTGAGTTGCTGCAGCAGAGGCTCCAGGGATGGATGCTCCACGACTATTAACTGGCTGGCCCTCCACACAGTTGACTCGGTCCTGCCTTTGAGGTCGTCTGTAAATATTGTTAAGAACCATGAGAGCGTCCTTTATTCTAGGGCTCACTTCGCTCCACCCTACCAGGCGACCCATGAATGACAGTTTTCCTCTCTGACAACCGGGAAAAGGAACTGTTCTGGGTGGAGTGAAATCCAGCTTTCGGTCCCCGGGCTCTTCTTATGGTTCTTCCCCGGCCTCAGGTGCTTTCCTCTTAGGCCATGCTCATGACTCACCAGAACTCCGGAAGCCCCACCATGTGTCTCTAGGGCTGGTCCTCCTGCAGACAGCTCTTTGTTCTCCTTCCCCCAAGCTGGGAGTTCTGGCCTCTTGACTCGTCCATCGGACAACACGATAAGTGGTCGTGGAGGCCCACGGGGGTTTGTGTCCTCCATTGCTTGTGATCGTATGCCTGAAACACATTACCTGGATGATCGCATCTAAGATAGGAGAGGGAGGTGCAGGAGGTGGTGCATGACTTTAATCCCCCCCCCCCCCCCCCCCCCCCCCCCCGCACTCAGGAGGCAGAGGCAGGTAGATTTCTGAGTTCAAGGGCAGCCTGGGCTACACAGAAAGAGGCCCCGCCTGGAAAAGCAGAAACAAACAAACAAGACGGGAGAGGGAGATCTCTTTGTTGTTTGTTTGCAATCATCAGAGCACACTAAGTGCTGTACTTAATGTCTGTGTGTGCGCGCGCGCGCACACATGTATGTGGGTATGTGCGTGGATGCGCACTGCTGGGTACTGAACCCAGGGCCTTGTGCATGCTAGGCAAGTACTCCACCACAGCTACACCACTGATTATTTTAAAAGAAGAAATCCTCATAAATGTATCTTCACAGGAACAGAATGTAATAGGAAAATATTTATAATTTTGGTGATTAATAAAGTGGTAGGCATTGCTAAAATCACATCTTGTCCTTGTAGGGAAGGTGAAATTCCAGTTCCTGGTTACCAAAATGGAATATTTTTCCCATACAAACACAACTTCCTAAATCTTCTTACAGTTCCCAAAGTCCCCTGCCCCAGAACCCCCCAACTTTTCCCCCTATGAATATTAATGGCCTCTTAGCTGGTCCTTTCAGGACTCTATTTATTATTTTGCAAAAAATAAGCTCCCCCCCTTCCCCCAGAGGCAAAACAAACAAACAAGAAAGGAGTCCCAATTCCTTTTCTCATAGTACCCATTCTTCACCATCCCCAGCCTTGTTTTTACAGGCCTCTGGCCCGATCAGCATCTCTGGATTCTTTGTGAACCGGTGGCCATAAACAGTCAGCTGCCCAGCTTGGGTCTCATGCAGGCCCAATGGCGGAGTTTCTCAGGCCTGGAGGAATGCCATTCTCAGGTAATCCCAGGCATGCAGGACTCCTTCCTTCAGGCGTGTGCTATTTATGGCAGAAGATGACCCCTGAGTTGCTTCCTTGCGTAACTGGTATACTGGTTTTAGTTTTGTTTGTTTGTTTTTTCGAAACAGGGTTTCTCCATTTAGCTTTGGTGCCTGTCTTGGAACTCACTCTGTAGACCAGGCTGGCCTCGAACTCACAGAAATCCACCTGGCTCTGCCTCCTGAGTGCTGGGATTAAAGGCGTGTGCCACTACTGCCTGGCATGGTTTTGGTTTTTAAAGCCAAATCTGGGGCTGAGAATATAGATCAGCAGTGCTACATACCTGGGCGTGGTGATACTCACCTGTCATCCCTAGGCTCCAGAGCAAAGTTCAAGGTCACTCTCAGGTGCCTAGGGAGTGCGAGGCCAGCCTGAACTACTAGAGACACTATTTCAAAACAACTAAAGCAGCTCCCTACCAATCATGTCTTTGTTCACTAAAATGGTCCTCACTAGTAGTTCCTCATTCCTTTCTTAGGTTCTGGTTGTTCGACCATCTTCTGAGTGATGAGGCTGTCCCCTGGATCTGAGTTCAAGCTTCCTAAATGACATCAGGAACACAGAAGAACTGTCAGGTTGTTAGTCCATTACAGTTTAAACACACACACACACACACACACACACACACACACACACACACACACACACACACACCAAAAACCAAAAACAAACAAACAAAAACCCCAGCTGGGCAGTGGTCGCATGGCACACGTCTTTAATCCCAGCACTCGAGAGGCACAGACAGATGGATCTCTGTGAGTTCGAGGCCAGCCTAGTCTGCAGGGTGAGTTCCAGAACAAGCTCCAAAGCTACAGAGAAACCCTGTCTTGAAAAACCAAAACCAAACCAAACCAAAACAATCTCCCCCAAAGCAGGTAACTGGAATAGAAGAAACAGTATGCAAGATCAATTATTATTTCAAGGCAGGGTTTCATGTAGAACAGGCTGGCCTCAAACTTGATATAAAACCAGCACATTCAACTTCTGATACTCTTGCCCCCAACAGCAGATACTGAGACCCAGAGCCAAACATTAGGCAGAGCTCTGGGAACCTGCAAAAGAGGGGGAGGAAGGATTGATTGTAGGAGCCAGAGGGGTGGTGGACACCAGGAGAACACAGCCCACAGAATCAGCCAAGCAGGGCTCCTAGGCTCACCAAGACTGAAGCAGCAATCAAGAGTCTGCATGGGTCTGTGCTAGGTCCTCTGTTTACACGTTGTGGTTGCTTAGCTTGGGGTTTTTGTGGGACTCCTAACTGTGGGAGTGGGGGTGTCTCTGACTCTTTTGCCTGCTCTTGGGACCCTTTTTCTCCTACTGGGTTGTCTTGTCCAGCCCTGATCTTATTGCATCTTGTTATGCAGTGTTCAGTGGACATCCCTGGGAGGTGGGCTCTTTTCAAAGGGAAATGGAGGAGCAGTGAATCTGGAGGAGAGGAGAGCTGGGGAGGGAGAGAAGGATCAGGTTGGGATGTAGTGTATGAGAGAAGAATACATTTTACAAAGTGTGTAACAAAACAAGTGGACGCTATCACAGCCAGTTCCTGATCTACTGGCTGGAGATCGAACCCAGACCCTCCTCTAACAGGGTGGGTAAGTGCCCTATCAGCCCAGCTACATAGCCAGCCTTTACTTTTATATTACTTATAAAATGAATTGATTTATTCTTTTATTCATACTGGGGGTCAAATGTAGGGTTTTTAGCATGCCAGGCAAGTGCTCCACCACTGAGCTACTGGAAATGAATTGCTTTAGTGTCTGTCTGCGCCAACTAAGCAAAGTCCTTCAGAAAGGGAATTAAGTGCCATTCCAGACTAGCACAAACACGGCATAAAGTAGGCCTTGCAAATATTTACTGAGTAACAGTCAAGGATCCCATGTACACATTTGCTTCAAATGTACTATACTAAAGTCCCTGTTAGACTGTTTCCCTTCAGAAGGCCTGAGGGATTCCTCCAAGACCAATTCATTGTAAATATGACACAGACCTTAGCGCTGTTAAAAAGAACTTGGGGAAATGTCTATATCTTCAATGTTTATGGACCATCTGAAGGCCGGAACTGGAAGTGATGTGCTCTAGGTCCCCTGTGCTTGTCACTGGGGAAGTAGTACTGAGGATTAACCCCCCATTGAAAGAAACTGCTGTAAGGTGGTGGTGGGGAGCCGAAATGTTGGGAACACAGTAGTGATCTGCAGGGAGATGTGTGATAGGACATTATCCAATGGGGATTCAGAAGACTGACATGGGTCGGGCAAGATTAGAATCAGGAGACCAAGGCTGCTGAATAGTCATGGGAGGGGCAAAGGAGAAGGGTCTGTGCAAAAAGAGAGAGAAAATAGACAACTCCCAACTTGTTAAATTGGAGGATGCCTAGAGGGTCCAAGCCTGGGGGTGGGGACTGGTCTCAGAAACCACAGTGAGGGAGATAGGAGAGGGAGGTGGCTAGCGGTTGAGGCATGGGCCCTAGAGGCAGAGAGCATTGTTGAGTTCTTGCTCTGTTCCAGTGTGGGATTAACCAAACACAAGGCAAAGGGTAAGACTGAGCCTCAGTTTAATTACCTGTGAAATGGAGTATTAACAGCTCTCTCTTGGGCTCCGAGGAGGATTAGTTGGGTGACACCCTGGAGGCAGTGGTCCCAGTGGTTCCCTTGGGTCCTGAGTTTCCAGTCTGTGTCGGGGGCATCCCAGCTGGACTACACTTGCTGCAGGAGCAGAGTCTAACTGGACCCTCTGTATTAAATTTTCTATGGTGAGCGGGAAAGTGTCTAATCTGTAGGTTTTTCTGGTAATGTTTAAAGCTCACCAAGTTGGACGGTTCTTCAAAGAGCTAGCAACAAAAAAGTGTCTCGTCCGCACATTTATTCACAGCTTAATAATACCCAAAAGATCCAGTTAGAGAGGCCGCTGTCCTCGAAAAAATGAAGTTTTCCTATCTCATCTTTGATTGCTCCTTGTGGGGCTGGAGAGATGGCTCAGCTGATTAAGAGCACTGGCCACTCTTCTGGAGGCCTCCGGGAAATCACAACTGCTGGAAACTCCAGCTCCAGGGCGTCTCACCTTCACACCAATGCCCATAAAATAAATTTAAATCAATTATTTTTTTTAAAAAAAACCCTGTTTCCTTTGAGGGGGATTTATGTATTGAATTTTGTTGCTGCTGTACCAGGTCTGAGCCCAAAGTATGAGGTCATGCAGTGGGTAGTACATGCTCTACCCGGAGTTACACATCCAGTTTATTTTTTACTTTATTGTGAAACAAGGGCTTGATAAACCGGCCAGGATGACCTTGAACTTGTGATCTTCCTGACTCAGTCTCCAAATTGTTGGGATGACAGACATGTATTCCATTCCAAACAAGATTCTTCCTCCTCCTCCTCCTCCTCCTCCTCCTCCTCCTCCTCCTCCTCCTCCTCCTTTTTGAGGTAGGGTCTCACTAGATTATTGCCCAGTCTGCCCTCAACTCCCACTCAGCAATTCTCCTACCTCAGCCTCTCAAATGATGGTATCACAAACAGGTGCCCCCACACCAAGAAAAAAACTATGAAAAATTGTGAAGAAAAAGTTCCAGTGTTTTATTTATTTATTTATTTATTTATTTATTTATTTATTTATTTATTTATTTATTTTTCCAGTGTTTTTGAAAGCTCTTGCAACCAGAAACTTCATCAACGGGCCGAACTGAGCCAGCCAGCCAGGTTATAAACCTTCAAAGAAAATGAACCTCTGGTTGTGGTGTTTCATGTCTTTAATCCCAGCACTTGGAAGGCAGAGGCAGGAAGATCTTTATGAGTTCAAGACTAACCAAAGACACATACATTGTAAGAAAAAAAGAAAGAAAGAGAAAAAAAGAAACCAGTGCAAACTCCACACCCTGCAACACCTGGCAAAAGTAGAACTCTTGCTAGGAGATAGACTACCACCACTGTCCACAGAGGAATGGTGTGATTTCGGATTTTTTCCAGCTGATAAAGTATCTGTAGCAATATACAGGATTCTCTTTGGAAAGAGCTGGGAAGATTGAAATCGAATCTTGGGCAAGCCTTGTGTGCTGGTTCCTATCTGTTAAACCAAGTATTGCACAAAAGAGTCACATTCCAAAAGAAGTGTGTTTGTTCTGGCTTAAACAAAATCATTTCCTCAGGAAAGCCTGATTCAGATAAAGCCTATTAGGAAACTCACAATCTCCCAGTTTGCAGGAAATGGAATGTCTTTATTTATTTTGAATCCAAAGAAAATGCGTTAAACATTCTGCCACTGCCAGTTAGAGCATGCTTTTAAATGCAAAAGCGTGTTTACAGTTCCTGGCCTTGACCTTGAGAATGCCATACCTTTATCGGGTGCATTTTAATTAGGCTTATTTTCACACACATGTGCACTGATTTATTTACAAAGGTTTTCAGTTTAAATGTGGCTTTGGATGTTTTCATTTATTAACTTCTTATTTGAATGCCAAGTCATGACGTCTTCATTCATGTGTCATCGTATTTCTCGTTCATTTTTCTCCCACCATCTCCCCCCAGCCCTCCTCCTACCTCGGAATACACTTTCAGACACTAAGTAAATATTTAAGGAAGAAGGGAGCATGAGGTTAAGAGTCCAGACCTTAAGTTCTGGTCCCAGCTCAGTCCCTTCTGAGCTGTCACTCTTGACAATGTCTTCGCATCTTAGTGCTGGAAAGTGGGCACTTTCCGTGACCACTCAGGAGGCTGGAAGACTATGGGAGCTGATGTATACATCAAGCATGAGGGCCTGGTACACACTCGGGACGCCATCCACATCAGCCACTGTTAGTCATTCTTGCTTTCCTGGTGCAGTGTGGGCTTCCCAGGGCTCCATTAGGCAATCTAGTTGATGAAAAGGTTGTTGTGGGAGTCAGCAGACGACGAGCACTCTTTACACAATCAGAAGGAAATGGAAGAGTCTAAACGGTCACTCATCTGTTCATGTAAGAGTCTTGCTAGGCAGCCTAGGCTGGTCTCCAACTTTGAATCCTCCTGAGTGCTGGGATCACTGGTGTGTGTCGCCAGGCCAGCTCTCTCTGTCAAGGGCACATCCCTGCTGATCTTAATCCTGTCACTGCTGAGACTAACAGGGCTGGGACAATCTCTTTTTTTTTTAATTTTTAATTTTATTTATTTATTTAGTTTTTTGAGACAGGGTTTCTCTGTGTAGCTTTGCGCATTTCCTGGAACTCACTTTGGAGACCAGGCTGGCCTCGAACTCACAGAGATCCACCTGTCTCTGCCTCCTGAGTGCTGGGATTAAAGGTGAATTAAAATAGTTACCTCATTTCCTCCACTTCTCTTTCTGCCCTCCAATCCTTCACATATACCCTGCTTTGTCCTCTCTCAAATTCATGGTTTCTATTTAATTGTTACATTTATATTTATGTATGAGTATATATATTCCGAAGTATATATATAACCTGCTCAGTCCATATGTCATTACTTGGATGCATATGATACCACTTGGTATAAGACAACACAGTGGGGGACTTTTCCCTGGGGAAGACTATTTACCCTACTCTTACCATTCTGTAGTTGACTAGTTTTTGATCTTGGGTTGAGGCCTCTTGAGCCTCTCCCCTTCCAGGTTGACGTGTCTACTGGTGTCATACCTGTTCAGGTCTTGTTTAGGTGGCCATCTTGGGGAGACCTCATGGATGTAGCTTCTCTGACATTTCTAGGAGATGCAATCACAGCAAACTTCCTGTTCCTCTGGCTTTTACCATCCTTCTGCCCCCTATTTTGTTATGATCCCTGAGCCTTAGCAGGAATTGTGTTGTAGCTATCAGCTGGTGTTGGGCATACTTCTGCATTTTGATTGGTTGCGGCTTCCTATGATGGTCTCCATCTGCTGCAAGAAGTTTCTTTGATGAGGGGTTGAGTGTTAATATTCTGATTCGCTCCTTAAAATCCCACCCCCTGTCGCCGCCCTGAGTCCTGATGTAAAAGCCTCATTCTAAGGAAGAAGTCCTCCCCTTTCTCTCTCTCTCTCTCTCTCTCTCTCTCTCTCTCTCTCTCTCTCTCTCTCTCTCTCTTCTGCTTTTCCTCCCACAAGGTGTGCATCCCCCTCTCTCCTCTCTCTTTCCTAGCTTTCTCTTCATCTCTTTATTATAATAAACTCTCCACGTGGATGCAGCAGCTGGGTTGTGAAACACTGGCCGCTGCCACCATGCCCACGTGGCATGATCTGCCCGGCATGTTTCCCTGCAAGTGCAGGATACCCCTCCCCACCACGGCAATACTTCATAACAGTGAGCTCTACACCTATCTGTGGGTATGAGGATGAATATTGAGAATGTAGTTAGGGACTATGCTGGTTTAGTAAAGTGGTGGGTTTATGCTCTCTCAGAGATCGATGACCTCGCTAGCCCTGGGAAGTTGGCGAGATTACTAGTACCAGGCATGATTTCCTTCTTGCTGACAGGCCCTAAGTCCAGCTAAAAAGCTGTTGGTTTCTGCCAAGGCATGTGTGCCACGATCACATCCTTAGGGCTATTGTGGCGTGCTGGAGATGTGGTGAGGTTCGCAGCTGAGTAGGACTACTGGTTGCTTGCCTCCCTTGGAAGCTTACATGGCATCTTCTGGTCCCACTCGCACAGTTAAACACATCAGTCTAGTGAAGAGGAAGCTTATAGAATGGCAGAGACTCTCTGCCAGGTACGCTCTGACAGAGGAATAATACCCAGAACATATAAAGAATTAAAAAAAGACAAATGAGGGTTGGAGGCGTGGCTCAGTGGCCAAGAGCACTTGCTGTTCTTTCAGAGGACCCGAGTTCAGTTCCTAGCAACCACATTAGGGGGCTCACAAGGACCTATAATTGTAGCTCCCGGGGATCTGACACTCCCTTCGGGCCCCCATGGCCACCTATACATGTGGTATACCTGAACACAGACACAGTCAGTCAGAGAGACACAGTCAGGCAGGCAGACACAGACAGGCAGGCAGGCAGGCAGACAGACAGACAGACAGACACACACACACAAAACAATTAAATCTTAAAATAACAAAAACAAGAACAAATCATTGGAAAAAAATGGGCTTGGGATCTGAACAGAGTATTCTCAAAAGAAGAAAAAAATGGCTAAGGAATAGTTCAAAAAGTGTTATTGCCCTTAGCAATTAGAGAAAGGTCAAATCAAAACCACCTTTGAGATTTCATCTTACTCCAGTCCGAATGGGGAAGACCACTAAAACAACAGACAACAAATGCTGGAGAGATGTGGGGGGACGGGAATCCTGACTTTCTGCTGGTGGGATTGAAATTGGTAGAGCCACTCTGGAAATCAGTGTGGGGAACCCTAAAAAAGCTCAAGATAATCTACCATACACCCAGCTACACCACTGCTCAGCACATGCCCAAGGGACTTGACATCCAGTCAGCACTGCTGACTGCGGTCTATCCTCTGTAGCTAGGAAATGGGAGAATAGAGATATCCTTCAGCTGAAGAACGGAGAACGCACATGTGGTACATCTACACTATGCAATACTACTCAGCTGGAAAGAAAAATGAAACCTGAAGGTCAGTGGATGAAAGATCATATTAATCAAGAAAAGTAAACGCCGGATGTTCTCTCATTTGAGGCTCCAACTCTTCAGATGTGAGCAGGTGACTTGAATAACTGCAGAAACCAGGAAAGTGAAATGGGACCATGGCGAGGGAGGGGACCAAGGTGGGGGGGAGCAGGATGCTAGTGATTTGAAGGAGGAACAGGAAGAGTGGAAGACTTGAAGTGGGGGAGGGGAGGAGATAAGCACAGAGAAGAGAGAGTGGAATGAAAGCCAGCATGTCTGAAAAGGTCACAGGAATCTTTATCTAGTTACCTAAAAATACATCTAAGTCTGTATATACATATACACACATAGTTCACGTGAAGAATTTCAATCTGGGCTGATAATGCTCCTCATAACCTATCTAATAAAAAGCCCAACACCAGACACAAGAAGGCTCTTTTGAATTCTTAGTCAGGGTTGTCCCACAGACCCCAAAACATTATACGCTATTGCTATTACCCTTCGCTGCCCCAGAAACCGAAGGTAAATCCCTGCTCAGGATGTGTGGCTTCCCATGTGCTGCCTGAGGCCCTCCTAGGGATGCAGTCAGGTTTACATTATGGGCATTACTTACAGCTGCCCTGGGGAGTGTGTTCCTGGAACATTCCACCCCATTCAGAAACTCACGACAAATGAAAACATTTCCATGCCCAGTGCTGTCAATCATGCCAAGTAAACAGGGGGGTCTGTTGGCTTCGCTTTCTAACCGGATGCTGCTGCTGGCTTTGCTTCCAGAAACTGCTGCTCGGCTGGCATGTTTCTCTGCGTTTTCATTTTAACTATCAACCCAAAGACACTTTTCAGTCGAAACAATTCTAAAAACCGTTTAGAAGCAGCAGGGGGGGGGGGGGGCGGAGTACCTTGGGAACCCCCCCCATCCCCCACCCCCGCTTTGGTTTTTCGAGACAGGGTTTCTCTGTGTAGCTTTGTGCCTTTCCTGGAACGCACTCTGTAGCCCAGGCTGGCCTCAAACTCATAGAACAAGCCACAGCTATCTCATCTTACCAGTTCCTCAGCTGGTCCTGTTTCCTCAGACTGGAAGCCTCTGAGTCCTCTCAGCTGAACTGTGTTGCTCCAAAGCCTGAAAGCTTAACCAGCCAAATGCCTGCCTCTGCCTCCCGAGTGCTGGGATTAGAGGCGTGCGCCACCACCGCCCGGCTTTGGGAACCCCTTACACCCTGGAGAGATACAGACAGAATCATGCTGAGGATTATCAAAGTTTTATTTAAAATTTCGGAGCACTTGAAAATAAAGAATATAATGTTCTTGTGTTTCTAGTTTGTCACTTGAAGAATGCTTTCGATTGCAATCAGCCATCAAGTGTTACCCCAAACCCAGTGTGCTGATCAGCCAGCCCTTGACCGCTCTGTAACCTCGGGGTTGGGTGGCCGGGGTGGAGGTAGGCTGCTGACATCCCTGTGGCCAGGGGGGCTTGTTCCTACTCAGAGTGGCGTTTTTTCTTCTTGTTGTGGCTCTCGATTGCCCTTCTCAGGGCTTCATCTGGGATGAGGTCCGACATCCTCATGTCCGTGTGACTACAGCCAATTTTGGGGCAACTGTGAAGGAGAAAGAGAGGCATCAGTCCCTCTCACTTCCGTGCCTTAAGCACCAACCTCATCGCCAGGCACTGGAATGAGAACATTTTACAGAGTACAAGGATGAAAACCAAACCCCTCAGAACTTAGAGTCATGCACATGTCCCCAGGGGAGGGCGGCTTGGTTTGGAGCTGGGGATGCAAGCGACGACGGGTGAGCAGCACCTACAGTTAGGAGCTTGCTTTGTCATGGGAGGCAGGCAGTCACCACGTAGCCAAGTACCACACCACAAGAGCAGTGAAGCAATGCAGGGCAGAGGGGACATGGGGTTCGGGGAGATGGGAAGGAAGGGTGGACACAGGCGTGCGTGCGTGTGTGCGTGCGTGCGTGCGTTCTGGTGTGCGGCCTAGGCTGCCCAGAAGGCACAGCCAGGTGCTCTGCAGTGAAAACAAAGAATTTGGAGGTGAGCTCAGGGGCAAAGTGACACTTTGGATTATTATTTTATTGTTATTATTTTTTGTTTTGTTTTGAGTCACAGTCTCACATAGCCCAGGTTGTCCTTGAACTTCCTACCTAGAGGGGAATGAACTTCCTATTTTCCTCCATTTCGCCAGTGCTAGGCTTATAGGCATGCACCACCAAGACCTGGTTATAAGCTATGCTGGGGGTCAAACCCAGGGCTTCATGCATGACAGGAAAATGCTCCACCAACTAGGCTACATCCTTAGTCCAGGATCTCATTTTAAATATGAAAAGAAGCCCCTGGAGCTTTTCCAGAGAGGGCTGGGGTGTGATTTCATTTCCTTTTTAGACTTAGGGGAGGACAGAGGGCTAAAGGGCAAAGAATGAAGCAGGGAAACAATGGGTGTCGGGAGGTGAAGCAGGGGTGAGGAGGTCTGCTGGAGTGTCCTGGCAGAGACTGGCTCTAGCACACACTGGGACACGGGACCCGCAGAACCTACGGCTGGAAGGCAAGTGGAGCCTAAAGAAAGGGGGGACAGATGGGCAACTGCAGGGCCCCAGACTGTGACGGGAAGGAACGGGAACACAGGAGAGGAACAGGGCCAGGAGTCCCGCTGGACTACGTCCCTTTGAATGCCACTAAACCTCTCAGTGGAGACACTGAGTGGGGCATTAGGGACTGGCCAGGAGCCTGAGGTGGGGACTGAAGAACGTGAGTCACCAGAAAAGGGTGGAGCTCAAGGCCTTGCTCAGTTAACCATCTCCTTTGAGGCAGTGTTTGGTCTGAGTCACCTGATTTCTTTTTACTATGAAGGAGATTTGGGCAGGGCTGAGTGCCCAGTGTTTGGACTCAAGCTTATGGAGGTCCTGAATTCTCTCAATCACCTACTGGTTGGTGGCTGAAAGAAACTTTCTGAGCCTGGGTCCCCCTGCTTTAAAATATGGACAGGGTCCCTATTCCACGTGACAACAGCCTCAGAACTACTCCATAATGTCCTTCCACTTTCCCATCTCCTAGACTGGCTACTATTCTCTTGGGAAGTTTGAAGTTATCTGGTCTGTCTGTCCTCGCAGAGACCCAGGACACATCCACACCATTCAGGGTGCTCCTGTGTGGTCAGCTCTGGGCCACAGAACCTGAAGTACAAACAGGATTCTGGCCCACACAAAGGCTGGCCCCAGGACCCGAGACAGCTCTTCAAAAGGCACAGCAAACACAGGAAGGAGAAAGGTAAAAGGCAGAAGGGAGGGAAGCTGACCCGAGAGCTACAATTCAAGTCACAGGAAAGGCAAGGATAAAGGAGGAAAGAAAGGGTTTTCTTGGCCTTGATCTTGGGATCAAGGAGTTTTCGAAGCACAGGGGCTTTCTTTGGAGCAACGGATGGTAAAATTAAGAATGGGAATTAATGTTGAAATGCTGAATGTGCTCTGTATATTCAGGCATATGAGTTTTTCTGTCTGTCTGTCTGTCTGTTTTGGTGGAGTCTTGCTGTGTAGCCCTAGCTGCCCAGGCCAGCTTGTCCCCTGTACTCTGAAATCCTTAAGTATGAGATGATGAAGATATACACGCATTCATTTTAGAAACGGGGACTGTCATCCCTTAGGCTTCCCTGCCGTGGAAATGCAGAACAGGAGGTTCCTGGGGGTAAACTTCCCTGACGGGCAAGCCCTGAGCCCCACTTCTGACTCCCAAGCCTTGGGTGCACCAACTCCTGAGAACAAAGTCTACCTCCATCTGCCAGACGGTGAATAAGCTAGTGGAGAGGGAAGTGGAGAGCGAGGGGGGAGGACTTCCTGGTGACGTCAGTGGCTTTAGTCAGTAAATGAGGGCATTCTGAGAACGGCTGATGGAATTAACCACACAACTGGGCTGCAGGGGAGGCGCCCACACTCACTCATGTCATGCTGGGCTGGAGCTCAGTGACATCTGTGTCCTGCAGAGACAGCTCTGGGGACAGGGATACAAATCCAGTAGTCCTTCCAAGGGGCAGGAGGGCGTTAGGAGCTGACAGCAAAGATACAACTGAACATGGAGGAGCTGAGAGAATCCCAGCACCTGGGACGCAAGAGGGGGATCAAGCGTGCTAGACCCGACTGAACCACACAGAAAGTTGTAGGCTAGCCTGGGCTACAAAGTGAGGCATCTCCAGAAGAGTAGCAAAGACCAGGCAGTCAGCTCCCCTGACGCTGATACTGTACAAATGACCGGACAAGGTTTTCCCTGCAAACGGAGGGAAGTGGAGTTCCTGGTCTGACGGAAGGCATTCTGGCGCAGTGAGAATCAAGCTGGCCACTGGCAAAGGCTCATGCTCCAGGCCTTACCACACAGTAGCTGCTGTTCTAGACCATAGCTACCAGTCCCGTCTCCTCAAACAAGACAGCTCCCCAAGTGACAGGGTACAAACAACACTGAACAGCATGAATGGATCTCTGGGGAGACTTCCTGGAGGTGAGGCTGGCACAGGAACCAGGGTACAGCCTTGTCTCCCACCCCACCCCAGAGAAACAAGCTTTTAAACTAAAAAGGCTAAGAAAAGGCCATGATGCCATGGGCCTGAATCAGGGCACTCCTGCTCTGAGAAACAACATTACCCAAGCATTAGGCCATAATCCCCAGGACATCCTGGTGAGCAAGTCAGGTGTGGCAACACCTTCAACTCTCGAATCATCCATTATCGAATCATCCCCTGGAAGGGCTCAGACCCACAGGCCTGGAAGGAGAGGCTGATCTGAGCCTGGGTCAGCCACAGGGCAGAGCATTCCTTAACAGTGTAGGGCACACTTAAGTGTCTGCTAAGGAAAGGCCTCAGGGTGCAGAGGGTCTCAGGGGGCTGCGGGAATTGGGGCCTCAGTCTCAGCTCATGATCACATCATGGTGAGTCTTGAGAGGCTCAGATTTGGGTCCTAAGAATGCCTAGGTCCGATCCATAAGCTCCAGGAAGTGGGTGGAATGCCTCTGGCAGCAAGAGTGGGGTGGATTCCTGTCATACCTACAAACAGGAGCAATTCTGTCCCATGCCCTCCAAGACTAGGGTGATGTGTCACAGAGCAGTGGGGGAAGTGTGATGACTGGCAGCCATAGGGCTGCGTAGCTGTGTGTTCATGCTGTACACCAGCAAGCTTCCTCTCAGGGCTGCCCCTCCCCATGTGTGTACAGGCGGCGGCTGTGTACATGTGCACATGTGTGCATGCTGTGGTGGTCAGAGGACATCCTCAGCTCTCCCCTCGGGGACTACCACATTTATTAGTTTTTTGAGACAGGGTCTTTCGTTGCCCTAGAGCTTGCTAAGCATACTCTAGGCTGGCTGGCCAGTGTGCCCAGGGCTGCCAGGATCTAATCCTCCTCCCAGTGCTGTGGTTACAAGTGTGTGACCATACGTGGCACTTTAATGTGAGTTTTGGGGATTAGCTAGAGTCTGACTGAGCCAGCTCCCTGTCTTCTCCACAGGCAAGAAATGTGCTCGTACAGATCTGGGAGGAATTCCCTGTTAGCTCCAGGGACTCTGGAATTTTGAGTTGATGGTGTAATTGCCACTCTAGACACAAAGAATCTGGTTGAGAGGCTCAGTGACGTGTTGCTAAGTGAATTCTGCTTTGACACCACACATTTCACTTCACGTTTTCTGCCATGCTGTGAATGACTGGTAAGGGTCCTGCTCAGTACCAGAAAACCAAAGCAAATGGCTGGGGTCAAAACCAGCCATAACTCATTAGCATGAAAATCGGCAGGCAGCTTTATTTGCGAGCTTTATGATTAAGAGATCTATTTTAGGAAATGACTCCAACAGTATACTTAGGGTGAAAAGCTCCACAAGAATATTCCTCCTCGAGCCAGTGGAGAGGCCTCCAGGGACTGAAGCATGCTGGGAAAGTTCAGATGGTACCCAGTAACACAATGTGCCTGGGACTCCAGTAGTGTAACATAATTGGAACAGGAGAAAGAAAGAGTTCTCCAACAGGATGTGTCACAGACATTTTTTAAATACCGCTTCATGGGAAATGACATCACTTCATGCTGAATCAGAAGCCTATGGGGTAAGCTGTGCGCAGACCGTGAGTTCTGATCTGCCATGTGTGCCCTGGGTTTTGACACTGGCTCCCGTGACTGTAACACCTTGTCTTGGGTGTGGTTTAGGCTGCTTCCCACAGGGTCTTCTACCTCTGATGCTGTAACTGATGAACAAGAAACTGTTTGGAACTGACTGCAGGCTCTGAGTCAGGTGCTGAGGCACCATGGTGAGGAGAGCTCTTGCCAGCCACGGCTCTGTCCTGCTCGCCTCTCCAGAGCTGTGTCTCAAACAGTGACAGTGACCCCGCCTATATACTCAGATCCACATGATATTTACGGCCAGCTCAGTCACCTTCTAAGGGCGAAGCCCACACGCCTGTCCCTCTGATATTTTCAGGGGGCTGAACCACTGTGATCGCAGACTCGGATGACCTGAACTGAGCCTCTCAGAACCCTTCTAGACACTCTGCCCTCTTCCATCTCTTTCCAGCAACTGCTTCTGGACACTCAACAGAAATGGCAGTCATGGTCCCCTCCTCCTCCTCCTCCTCCTCCTCTCCCACTTACAACCCGTTGCCCCATTCTGTCAGGGGCACTTGCACACACCCTCACCCCCAGGGATGCGCCGCTCACTCTCTGTAAGAGAGCCCACTGTATAACGAGCAGCACAAGCCCTTGGCGCCCGCCCCCTGCACTGCTTCTGGAGGACTTCCTCAGCTCCAGGTTGGCTCCTCTTATTCCCCTTCCTCTACCAGGTCTCTTGTGCCTATGGGGTAGAACTGGTAGATGCTGGTGAAGACGCTGGCTAACACTTCAAGATAATGAAGGGTCACGGTCACTGAGTCTGACTGTGTATGTGCTCGGTACTTTAGCTACTTTACAAATATCAAATGCACCAGTGAGAAAACTACAATGACTACCATCAATTTACAGATGAGGAAGACAATGAAGCTGACATTCATGGCCTCTAGGATAGATCTCTAGCCTATTGCTTGTTCTATCACTACAGTGCCATTCTATTTTCCCGCCACCAACAGTCACCACCATCATATGGACGGCCCACCAAGTGAAAGCTGGCCTGATGGGGTGAGGCTCTTGTCAAGAACCCAGTTTTTGATGGGTGTAGAGGTGCATGCCTTTAATCCAAGCACTCAGTATGCAGGGGCAGGTGGATCTCTGTGAGTTCAAGGCCAGCATGGACTACATAGTGAGTTCTAGGACAGCCAGGGCTACACAAGGAGACTGTCTCAAAAAAACAAAAAACAAAAAAACAAAAAAACAACCAACAAACCAAATGAACAAACAAACAAAAAACCCAGTTAAAAATTATTCTGCTATTTTTATGTATGTGAGTTTTTTTGCCTGCATGCATGTCTGCCGCACCATGTACATGCCGGTATGAAAGCCAGAAGAGGATATTGGATCCCCGAGAGCTAGAGTTTCAAGTGGATGCTGAGAACTGAACTTGGGTCCTCTGGAAGAACGGCAAGTGTTTTTAACAGCCATCTCTCTGCTGTCCATGGTCATCCATGTTGCACCATACAACTTCACTGTAGCTTTGGTTGTGAACACTTTCTACACTGTGAATGCTGTCACACCTCACAGTGCCAAGGAAACACCTCAGCTCAGATCTGAGATAACTGTGTGTTATAAATTGCTGTGGTTTTTCCTGTACACATGTTTTCTGCTCTTATGGAAACATATGATTTAATGGCAGAAAAGACAGTATTTTCCTATGATTATTCCACAGATTATAGCAAATCACCATATCTTTGCATTGTAATATAGTAGAATGTTTGATTTTAGAAACTGTGGTGAGTTACATTTTACAAAAAATTGTAAAATGAATTTTGGCTTGGGATTAAGATAACATTCCCAACAGTTCCTAAAATGGCTGTAAACATAGTTCTGCCAATTTTTGTACTATGTATTTATAGTGTTCTCAGCACTGACAATTAGAAAGTCAATAGTTTCAATCAACTGAAAAACGTACTCTAGTCTGCAATATCAAATATTCAGCCAATATTTAATTCTTTATGTAAAATTAAACACATCCATCTCATTAGTATATAAACTTGCTTTCATCTTTAATAATGGTAAAATACATATGTTGAAGAACTGTTTTAGGGTAAATTTGTTTAAAACCTATTATTCGTAAATGTTTAATTTGTGTACCTATTTTATATATCGATATACTCAGGGCTGCACAGGAATGTCTTGGGTGAGGGAGCTGGGGGAATGGCACAGTGGTCAGAGCACTTGCTGTGCGAATAAGAGGACTAGAGGTCAGATCTTTGGAGTTCATGGAGCCCCACCTACAATTCCAGACTCAGAAGGGGGAGACAGAGATTTCCAGGGGGACACACTGGTCAGTAAGGCCAGCCATATCTGCAAGCTTAGGGTTTGAGAGAACCTACCTCTAAGAGTAAGGTGGAAATCAAGGAAGATCCATGACAGCAACATTAGGCCTCTACATGTATGTGCACATAATGTACATGTATATCCCTCCACATGTACATCCATACATGTGAACACACATATGCACATGCAAACACACCACACACATATACACATGGAAGGGAGGAAAAGGGGAAGATCTGACCTAGTAAAACAGGGGTTACCAATGGAAGAACTTTAAGAGGACTGGCACAAGCACTCCCTCACCATTCCCTGGCATCTTGCTCAGTTTTTAAGGCCTGGTAAGAATGTCATTGTGGTAAACCTCTAACCTTCTTCCACCTGGATACCATTAGACTACAAACATTTGCAGGGTGTCTGCCACCCAAGTTAAGCATGACAGGTAAAGAGGGCATCTCTGGATGACGAGTGTTAAGTGCTTGCAAGTATTGTGTGCAATTCAAAACAGGTCAAGGGCATCGGAAAGTCAGAGTGTGTACTTGAGGAGGGCCATCTAAGTGAGGGAACACTCTGCCACCGTCCCTGGGAATGCTGGCGGGAAATGGAATCATGCTTTGTACTAGTCCCTGCACTTTCCACCCCGAACTTCAGGAGAGCATCATACACCGTCAGAGAGAAGAACGCCAGACAGTGAACTGGGAAGTATTCTTAGCAGTTATGTTGACCCTTTCTGGCTTGTGAGAGAAGGAACACGGAAAAAATTAGTAGAAAGGGAAGGCTTGGAAGTCCAGTAACAAAATTATGCTCAAAGGGAAAATGTCAAGGTCATTAGGGAAATACAGCATTTGGACTGTAGGTGGAAATGCAAAACAGACAGCAATGCACTAGCGGTTTACATTTGGCAGCCTATGCCAAACCATTTCTCCTCTAGAATAAATACTGTAGGTTACTTGACTGAATGGCCAAGGAGCTATCTCCAGTCTCTCGCGGCTATCTCTCAGCCCACACCCACATGGGGAGGGGAGGGGAATTCCAATTCTTGGGCTGGATGATGGAGAAGCAAAGCACACATCAAAGGGACTGCTGTCAGAGCCTGAGAACGGTCACACCTGCCATTCCATTCCTGCGATAAGAGCTCAGGAGATGCCAAACCCAGTCAGCTCCAGTGTGGCCACTGAGGACTCTCGTCACAGGCACAGAGCCGTGGTCCTGGGGTTGGGAGGTAGGGAGAGAAGGGTTAAAAAAATTCTCACTGGCGAGTTAGCCATGGACTTATTGAAACTGTTTCTTCAGTTATTTGTGTGATTAAATGAACGCATTTCTCTGATAATGTAATCTTCCTCACCAAGACCACTGGATAGGAATTCTTGTCTTCGAATGTTTACATGATTGTGCTTTAAACAAAGTGCTATTGCAGAAAGCAAGGAATAAGGTAATTTCCTCTTGGTTAAGTGGACACTGAAAAAGGGGGTCTCTCTTAGATCACAGTTCTGTAGACCCTCAGCTACTCTGGTTTGTTGGGGTGTGTGTGTGTGTGTGTGTGTGTGTGTGTGTGTGTGTGTGTGTGTGTGTGTGAAAGAGAGAGAGAGAGAGAGAGAGAGAGACAGAGAGAGAGAGAGGAGAGACAGAGACAGAGAGAGAGACAGAGAGAGACAGACAGAGAGAGAGAGAACAGAGAGATAGAGAAATATATAGAGAGAAATAGAGACAAGAGTATCGTTCTCATGTAGCCCAGGCTGGCCTCAAATTCTCTGTGTGGCTGAGGATGACTCTAATGTCTCATCCTCCTGTCTGTACCCACTGCTGGGGTTACAGGCATGTGTGTCCATGCCTGACTCGTGTGCTGCCTTGGATTGAAAGCAAGACTTCCTGTTTGCTAGGTAAGCACTCCACTCCCTGAGCTAGCCCTTGACTACCTTTTAAACAACAGAAATCCACTAGACTCCTGTTAGCGACTGACTCTGACTCAGTCTCCCCCTTCTGTTCTGATGGTGTAGCTGGAGTACTTCAGTGTCTTCTCAACACTGCTCTTCCCAGAAAGCCACTTGTCCTGTTGACAGTCTGGGCAGAGCAGTAACTAGGGAGACTGAGCACCTCTGCCTGGCGCGCACCGAGGACCACCAGGGTGCTCTGCTCCTCCAGCACCCACTTACCAGGCCTTCTTCTTCCGCTTGTGCTTGGATTCAATCATGCGGACAATGGCTTCCTCTTCGTAGGCATGGCCACACACTTTATTTTTCACTGGCTTCTTCATTTCCAGCTACAATTAAGGAGACATGAGGCTTTCAGGTATAATAACCATCCACTTCCTAGTCCCTCCAGCGGCTAACTTCTCACCCTCCTGGCTTTAAGTATTAGCTTCGAGATGAGGAAATGCTGGGCTCAAGGGGTCCTAATTTCACTCGGCCTCTGGGCTGTGACTTTGCTCCCAAGTTCGAAAGCATGTGATTGAGTGAAAGCGTTTTGAGCCACAACCCTCCCAAGTGTACAACTGGAGCTCATCACTTTTCTTTCCTTGCTGCCTCCCTCCCAGGGGGATATCAGAAGCCAAACGGGAGCCCTTCTGCCCTTGTGAAAACTCATCTAACTCCATTTTCTTTGAGGGGAAAGAGGAAGCCATACCTGTGTTATGGGGCAGATGAAATTGGTCTGGCTCTGGGTCACAATCATATCTTCGTCAATTCCTTCGGTCCCGTCATTCTCTCTATCTGCATGCATACCATCTACGGGAAGAAAGGGGGCTAGTGAGCTAGTTTGGCCTAGCAGCCTGCCAGGGAGAGGAAGGAAGGGCAGGAAGTTCCTCCAGGCCTTTTTGATATTTGACCTCAGCCCCTGCACTAGGCAACTGGAAGATCCATGTTAACTTTTCTGCCCCTGCCCACCCAGGGCCCAGAGCAGTAAAATAAGACTTTACAAAGTTCAGAGACTTAATCTATAAGGGAAAACTGCTTAGTAACCAGAGGTGAGGTTGTAGGAGTTGGAGGACCTGGTCTCTTTTGTGTCCAGTTACAGGCTTTGGGCTACCAAGGCGTCCTGTTTAAAAGTCGGCTTCACAGCTTTGGTGCCAAGACAAATGGAGAAAACAAAACCACATGGCTCCCAGCTTGAGGAAACAGTCAGTAGACAGGACCTACTTGTGTACAGGGCAGAAACAGCCATACTTTAGGGTGGATGATTTGAACGCCTTTGAGCTCTTAGATATTATTGAGGACTCCAAGGAGCCTTTTTAAAAATATGGGTTGTATTTATCAATATTTACCATAGTAGATATTAAGACTAAAGAATTTAAAAAATATATTTATTGCTTCATTTAAAAATACTAGCAACAATCCCATTACATGCCAATAAAAATAACTTTTTTTTTAATATTAAAACCCCCCCCCCCCAAAGACAGGGTTTTTCTCTGTGTAACAGTCCTGATGTTCTGGAATGCTCTCTGTAGGCCAGGCTGATCTCTGCTCCCAAGTGCTGGGATGTTGGGATGTACACATAAGATGTGTGCTACCACACCCTGCTCATATAAATAACATTTTAAAAGTTAAAGGTAATTATATTTTCCAGAACAAACCAAAGTGAGGAGAATGGCCTTGTTTTCTGCTTTTGTAAATATGTTAAATGTCTGGCTCCTTGAACTCAGACTTGAGTATCTTTCTGGCCTCTAGCCCCCCACAATACCATGCTGGGGAGCCTCCAGAAGCATGCAGGAAAGAATGATTGACAAGGTGAATGACGTCATACTGCTATTATGAAGACAGCTGACCCAGAGGCCACCCTGAAGCTCCTGGCCTGCACAGGGAACTGCTGAGCAGTGCTTATGAGGCTGTGAACACAGGGCCATCTGCTCCCAAAATTCCCTTTTCATTGTATCACACTTGTCCTTTACTGAGGAAAACACAGGTGACAGGTGACTTCTGGGCTAACACGGTGAGTTTCTCTCTGAGTGAGGGTTACAAGCTGAGTCTCTCTAAACCTGAAAGTCTGAAATCCACAATATCCCAAAACTTACAACATTTGTATACTGATAGGACACCAGAAGTGGTGACACAATGCCACCGTGAAACTGTGCTTCATGGATAAAATTATTTAAAATACTGTATGAAATCAGAGTCGGTTTTAGCACAAGTGATTTTTTTTTCTGGTGAGGACTTCCATCTAATATATTGTATAAAACTACCTTCAAGCTGTGTGTAGAAATTGTGTATGGAATATAAGTAAATTTTCTACTTGTATTGAATCCTGTCCTTAAGATATCTCATTACGTACATGCAAGTGTTTTAAAACCCCAAATGTGACACACTCTGATTCCAAGCATTTTGGGTAAGGGCTTTTTAACTTACACTTGTCAATTGTCTGTGGATGACCTATTCCTTTCTCCTTTCTCTCTTCTCTTCCTTCTTCCATCCTGGTAGAATACAGATCTAAAACCACTTTCCTGTCGCAGTGTGGGAGAGAAACCCTTGACTATATAGGTCAGGTGGGTCTGTAAACCTTCCCGTTATGGAATGACTTCGGGACTCCCCTCAGGCTGGGTAGAGTGTCTGTCTGTCTGTCTGTCTGGAAAGACACTACTAAGGCAGGACACGGGCATGGAGCGTTTGTTCAAGGCCATCTAGTGAATGAATGGTTAGAGGCCAGCGGCTCTGCCTTAAGTGTTCTTTAGAGGGGACCCCTTTCTTTATCTGTATGGCGGTTCGTGCCCCTAAACCAGCTCTTTTTCTAAGAAGGTGAGGTGAAGATGCTGGACTCCCAAGCAGAGAGAGCATTTGAAACCACCCAGCATCAGGGTGCAGTGCCTGGGACCTTAGACCTTTTCAAGGACGAGAAAACCACCCAGCATCAGGGTGCAGTGCCTGGGACCTTAGACCTTTTCAAGGACGAGAAAACCACCCAGCATCAGGGTGCAGTGCCTGGAACCTTAGACCTTTTCAAGGATGAGAAAACCACCCAGCATCAGGGTGCAGTGCCTGGGACCTTAGACCTTTTCAAGGACGAGAAAACCACCCAGCATCAGGGGGCAGTGCCTGGGACCTTAGACCTTTTCAAGGATGAAACCTTGGAAACCAAGTACTGGTGGGCATCTGTGTCTCAAAACTGGAAATCTTTTTGAGTGTCAACACAATGCCTCCAAAGTTTCAGATTTTGGAACATGTATGATTTCAGCTCTCTGGATTAGGGATGCTCAATTGATTTTTGTCTATCCAAGTATCCCCAAATCCCAAATTGGAGGCACTCTGGTCTTGGGTGTTACAGATCAGCAGTCTTTAATCCTTTATCCTAAACAAGCTAACTGTCAAATTAAAATCAGTTCGTGTTAAAGGCCTACAAATGTATTATTTGCTTATCCTCACTAATTGCTTATTTAGTAATTAACAATATTTCATTTGGAATCAGTATAAAGGCTAGATCTATTATTTAACTTAATAAAGATTCCCAAGTATACAAAGATAATTGCCGAGAAATTAATGACCAAGGACAAATCAGTTATCTGCAGCTAATCTATTTCCAAAGCAAAATCGCAAAAATAGTTTAAAAAATCCTGTAAGCCATAAAATGGCGTTTAATAGGAAGGTGCCACATTTTGTTATGTTTCCTGTGATAGGAGGTGGGGCTTCTGCAAACAGTGCTCACACCTATGAAGGGCTGCATGCTTCCTGAGCCCTGGGCTGGGCATTCATAGTACCAGAGTCAGCCTTCTTAAAGGGTCCTTTATCAACTAGGACTTCAGGAAACGGGGCAGGTAAAAAGGCAAGAGGCGGGCTGGGAGCCATGCCGCCTCTGGAATCCACTTTCCAAAGCTGCCTCCTGTGGGCTGCTGCCTCTTAGTCCTGATCTTTGTGTCTGAGAGTCAAAATAAAAGGAGTTCCTTGTGAATTTCTGATAGAGTTTATTCTGAACGGATGGCAGATTTCTAACTATAAATATTACAGCGTGGAATTCACCGGAAAATCTGTTAGATGTATAACAGAGTTCAGCCCATGTGAAAGACTGTGGGCTTGTTGGTTATTTTCTATTTTTATATTTCAAAAGGTAGAGGAAGCAAGAAAGCACAACCCAGATGCAATACTAACCACTCGGGAGGGCTGAGTGGGGAACTAAGCGATGATAGAGATCACGAAAAGGGAGGTAACAAAAGAGAGAAGGGGTGAATGCCAGCAGTGAGTAATAGCCCACAGACCGAGAGTCTAAAAGGGGAAAGATTGCAATAGCGACACTTCTCCAAAGAGCATTTCCTCGCCCTACACCTGTATTTATAGAAAATGACATTAATGCTTGGATTCTGCAAGGTGCTCACAAAAGGTCGCATCTGGCAATAAATAACACTTACGGTGGTTAGGCTGATCCAGAGGACAAAACTGTATGGTGCATGTGGTAAAAGGCAGGCCGGAGGGAAAGATACAGATCTGCTGTAACCACAGATATTTTAAAAGTGGGACTAGCTGCTGTCTGAAGTCTCATTTATCCAAGAACACCGAGAGTCAAGCAAAGTGTAGATTCTGTTTAAAACCGGCCGGAGGCTCAAAGGGTGCCTGCCTCTCCACGTTCTAGAGCCGGACTATTTGAATGCTGCAAACAGTGTGCTGGTTCTAGAGTGCTCCATCACCAAGGTGTCTCATTAATTAATACTAATAATAGCTCACTTGCTGATGACTGTTCCAGTAACTTGATATTATTTCATTTAGTACTCATGTAATACCTGTGAAGGACAGGTATTTCTAGAGTACAGGTAAGAATAAGTTTTAAGCCCCATGATATTTCTAAGGCAATTGTAAAAACTAGACATAAAATGAAGAAGCAATTGGATTAAGTCAATGAAATCTTTATTAAGGAATCACAAAATGTTCCTGATTATGCATAGGTCAGCGAGCAAATGAGATGCCTTATTTTCTACACCGAGCTTTCCACATTCCTGGGTTCTAAATACATGCGTTAAAGCAGGCATAGGTGAAAACTATTTGAAAAGCAACTGTATCTGTACCGAATATGCACAGACCTTTCTCTTGTTATTAGCCCCTAAATAGTCTATCTCCTCTTTACATAGCATTTACCCCAGGTTGGGTATGGTGAGTGGCTGGAGATGACTTAAACACTACGAGAAGGTGTGTGCTCTAGGCAAGCGCTCTGCCATTGGATCTAATCTTGAACATTCATGGAATCTGATAAATGCAGGGGTCCCAGAGATAACCCCTCATTGATACTGAGGGATGGCTGGACAGGCATATAATAGGCTGTGCTGTTAGGTAAATACGCTAGCTGTTAACATCTAACCAATGGGCAGGTCTCGGAACCCTTATCCTGCATCTAGATGCCTGGGGCTCAGGGACCAAGCACCATGCTGAGGAGGAAGGCCTGGACAGAAACTAAGATGACAGTGGAGGGACACAGCCAGGTAAGAGTTAGATAATCAAATAAAATTGGCTGACTGATCTTTTTCCCCATCCCCACCTCTAAGACAGGATCTTACACACTGAACGATGGTCTCACATTTATTATGTAGCTAAGAATGACTTTGATTTCTTGCCTCTATCTCCTGAGTGATGGGATTACAGTTGTGTACCATCATGCCTAGTTTATGTGGTACTGGGCTTTGTGCAAGGTAAGCAAGCTAGATCCCTACGCCCTGAACTTTATTTATATAATTATTATTTATTGTATATATGTGAGGGTATGCCATGTGTGTGTGCCCTGAGGGGCCAGAAGAAGGGATTAGATTCTCTGGAGCTGG